TGTAAATAGGGAAGGGTGGAGGGGGTGAAGGGAGGGCTAGGAATGGGGAAAAAATAAGAATCAAGATGCATCATGTAAAGGTACAAGTTCCCAGTGAGAAATGTAAATGTATTTTATACCTAAAGTGTACCAATAAAATTTACCAATGGAAAAAAAAAACTTGTTTGTGATATAATTTATAGTTTTATTAATAGCAGTACTAGAATAGTCATGGTAATTTATAATTTATGTCATGACAATTTATATTTTGTAGTCCATAAAGCTTATAAAAGATTTAAATGAAATAACCATTTGTAGAATCTGCAACTCTCATCTTCTCAAGATATCCAAGTTTTAATTTGATTTTATGTAGCATTTTTATAAGTTTTTATGTTTACTTGCCTCAGGAACCTTATGAATACTATTTATTTAGAGCTGACTTTTCACTTTTTCTTCTCAGGGGTGTCAATGTTGGCTACCACAGTTGTTCATTACCTCATTCCTCTTAGCAAGAGAGCAGTATTACTGATTGTTATGATGTCTATCACTGGTGTTGGAACTGGTGTTTTGGATACAGGTTAGTGAATACTCCAGTGTCATCTGGAACACTTCTCCTAGGAAAAGTAGAGCAGAAAGTATGAAACTGTCTCTTGCAAAGCTCTTGAATGACCTGGACTTACTTAGTTGTTCATGAGGTCACCTACCTAGTCACCTGCTTACCTGGCAGCTCCTTTTCTTGCTAATTAGGCCATCAAATTTGAGCCGCTGACTGTGAAGTGAATTTACAGGCTTTTGTTCTTTAGGAGATTTACAGGCCAGGACCCCCTCTTGTGGATAATTACTGTGCAAGTGAGAGGGCTTTCATTTCAGGAGAGAATTTTATCATTGTAGTGGAAAAGGAATTGATGGTTCAATAGAACATACACGGAACCACTATTAGGCTGTGGAAGCATAGAAACAGCCATCCAATTAAAAATGTACCTAGTTAGTGAGCTAAGAGAAACCCATGGCATGCACTACTTTTCTTCCTTTCCTTTTCTGTTCTTTTCTCACTTAGAAATTCCTGCCCTACCGCCCCTTCTGTCATCATACCATTGAAAATCTGCTAAATGACATAAGTGCTATTGGCTTACCACCAAATCCTGCTTTCTAGCCTCCTTTCCATGCTTTAAGTTATTTGATAGATTTTGGAAATATTTTACACTTTAGGTTTAGTTTGGTTGCAAAAGTTACAGGGTAGAATTATATGTCTGTCTGATTAAAAATAAGATAGCCACCACTATAAAACTCTGGCCTTTCATCTTGTAGGTGCTCAGTTAAGTGAAGATGCTGAAAGGTGTTCTTATTTTCTGTAATGAGCACAACAGAATCCTCAAGTGTTCTGATTCCTGAACATGTTTTCCATCTCATATACATATATATGTGACTTCCTATCAAAACTACAGAAACTATTGTAGTAATTTGTGGCAATGTGACCACTATCTAATAATGAAATATCATATAGTATAGTAAGTCTGGTGGCAGTGGGTTAGAGTTCTTCAATCAGACAAGTCATTCAGGTGAAATGTTTTTTAACTATGAATATTATCATGCTCAGGCCATGTAATCACTGTGCTTAACTTAAACCATTTCCCCATCTTTCTTTGGTAGGTGGAAATGTCCTTATCTTGGCTCTATGGGGACACAAAGGAGCCCCACATATGCAGGCCCTGCACTTCAGTTTTGCCTTGGGTGCCTTTTTGGCTCCTCTTCTGGCAAAATTGGCCTTGGGAACAACACTGTCCACGGAAAACCACACAGAGCCTGACCTTCATCCTCCAGCCCTCAACCAATCACCTGAAGCAAACCCAGGCCCTCTGTTTGCAGCACCTGATGACTTGAACCTACTGTGGACTTATGCTTCTGTTGGCATGTACATTTTTGTAGTTTCTGTCTTCCTATTTGCTCTGTTTTTCAAGAAAACCTCAAAGCATGAAAACCCAACAGTATCTGCTCAGGTATCTCGAAGAGCTAAATATCACAAGGCCCTGCTCTGTCTCCTTTTTATGTTCTTCTTTTTTTATGTTGGAGCTGAGGTAACCTACAGCTCTTACATTTTCTCATTTGCAACCACCCATGTTGGCATGGAAGAAAGTGAAGCAGCTGGGTTGAACTCCATCTTCTGGGGGACCTTTGCAGCCTGCAGGGGCCTAGCAATCTTCTTTGCTACATGTTTACAGCCTGGAACCATGATTGTGTTGAGCAACATTGGCAGCCTGGTCTCATCTTTATTTCTGGTGCTTTTTGACAAGAGCCCACTTTGTCTCTGGATAGCAACTTCAGTGTATGGGGCCTCAATGGCCACCACCTTTCCCAGTGGCGTTTCTTGGGTTGAGCAGTATACAAGCATAAATGGAATTTCTGCAGCATTTATTCTAATTGGTGCTTCCTTGGGACTAATGGCTATTCCTGTAGGAGCAGGAAATCTTCAAGGACGATACCCAGATTTGCCGGTAATTCTGTACACCTGTTTAGGGTCAACAATACTCACTGCTGCATTATTCCCTGTGATGTATAAATTAGCTACCTTTTCTGTCTGTCACCAGGGAAAGGAAAACATCAAGAGTAAGAACTGGAAAGCTTTGCGTTCTTGTTCAGGACTAGGAAGAAGGAAATGAGGCAAAAAAAAGTAGAAGAATGCAATGAGATGGCTTTTGAAGTGATTAAAGGAGTGATACAGTATGGCATGCTATAATGTGTAAACATCTAGACATAGTTTAATGGAGGCCATACTTGAAGTCTCCAACTAATTCCTCTCAACTGCAATAATGTTTGACCCTTCTCCAGTTAATATTGGGATTTTCCTGTGAAGTACTTTGTCAGAAACCAGGAGAAAAGGGACTAATACTTAGAGAAGATGGATTACTTACTGATTTTCTTGAAGAATCGCCACTTCTAAAGAGGCCAGGAAGAGCAGAGTAGCAGATTTTCAGCATGTTTTGCAGACCTAAGTTTCTAGGTCCATCTATAGCAAGTGTTAAAAAGTTTTAAAGTTTTCTCTCATTCCCACAGTCTTCCATAAACTACCAAGTGGTCATACACTAGGATCTTGCATGAGACTAGTGTTTGACATGGGGCTGATTATATAATATTTTATGGTCTCTACCTTTTAGCACATACAGAGAAATCATTTGAGTTTAAGTGGTAGCTAAAGAGCAAAACTAAAGAGGAATAGAATGAATTTGCTAAGCAAATTATGAGACATCCATAAACTGCCTGGAAAGTTGAATTTAGTTTCATAAAAGAGCATCCTTTGAAATAGATGTTTTGATTAATTGATTTACCTTCTCTGTAGGGTTGGACAAAAGAATAGTAATGATCAATTTGATTTTCAATGCCTATGAAAAGAACCCAACAAACTGGGTTTCCAGCCATGACTGTCTTCTGGCTCTACACTGAAACACTTTATGTAGGCCTCATTTATCTCATCTCCTGGTCTGTGATATTAGAAGTGAAAATGAGATGATTTCCAAATTGAAAATCCATGTATTATAGTTGTTTGAGATATGTCTTAGAAATCAGTGTAATTGCCAGCCTGTTCTTCCTTTCAACTGAGAAGTGGAAAAAAAAGAAGCTTTAAGAATATGCTATTAATTATGAATATGTGCCAATTTCATGTGCTTAATGTTTAATATTTTATTTGTAGTTTTGTGAATAAATTTTAATGCAGTATTTCATCACTGCAATATAAACCTTTCCTCCACACTTTTAACTACTTGGAAATCAAGATGTCTTACAATAAATAAATGATCATATAACAGTGTAACAAAATCAATATTTTCTGTATGCAAATATAAAATAATGTTGCATTTTACTGTGTCTTAGACTCAGTAATGAAGATTATACTTTTTCAGGCTTTTTAAGAAAAAGTTATATTTAGATGATAATTTTCTCTGTACTAATATTCAAATATGATCTGTTAACACTGTATTCTAATTTTGGATGCTTTAACAGAGTTACTACATAAATATTGAACCTATAAAGATAATTTTTGAGGCCCTGGACTATGCAAAAAATTGGGACTGGGTGTTCCTCTTTCAAGCTTTGATCTCACTGATTTTGAGTGGTAATCATCATAAGCACTTTAAACCAGTCAAAAAGTTCAATTTACAACAGGGCATAGTCTTTTTGAAAGATTAGAATGTGTGTATCACCTATCATGTAGGGCTCTTCTTCCTGAGTTTGAAATACCTGGAAAACCAAAGTAAGGATGAGAAGGGGAGGTTGGTGGCCTAGGAATCAGGGATGACAAACAGTACTTCATCTGTATATGGCAAATCTAGTGTGGCCATCCTTTGATAAATGCCTAGAACTAATGACAGATTTTGTTTACTTCTTTACAAGTTTTATGCTGAATGACATCTAATTTATACCTTATTATATTATGTTTGAAAATCTAATTTCTATAAATTTTCCTTTAAGAAAAATGCTTTGGCATGTCCTAGGTGAAATACAGCATATTTCTTGACCACTGCCCATTCTCCCTATATATGCCCCTCACAACATTTGTTCATGTTAATAACCCAACAACTTTGAAGTGGGTTGGTAGGGAAATTGATAGTAAAAAGCTTCTTGGTTTTTTGGGGGGTTTTTGTGGGGTTTTTTTGGTTACCGGGGATTGAACTCGTCCTTGTGGACGAACTGGGTCCTTGTGCTTGTGGGGCAGGTGGTGGAACCACTGAGCTAAACCCCTGACCCACCTCTTGCTCTTTTTATACTGTACTTTCCCCTTAGCTTAAGCTTAGAAAATACCTCTACTCTATTTCTTGCTTTTCTTCAGGCTGCTGGGCCTTAGGCAGCAGTAGCTAATTTGGCCTCTTGGGAGGCTTGTTATAAGAGGGAATCTGCTATCAGTATCTGCTTTTTAGAAGGTACAAGATGGAGTAGAGGGAGAGAATAATGGTAATAAGAATATGACACAACATTTGGAAATCCACAATGGAATTTACTAGGGTTCCACAATCCAAAATGTGAATGGCCATTTTATTAGCCAGCACTATATTACTATAACAAATACCTGAGATCATTCAATCATAAAGAGAAAAGTTTATTTGGCCTCACAGTTTTGGAATTTCTAGTCCACAACTGCTTGGCTTCATTGCTTTCAGGCCTGTGGCAGTGCACTACATCATGACAGCAGAAATTGATAGAATAAAACCATTTGCTGTATGTGTGGCCCTTGGATTCTTTTTACCAGTGTTAATAACATCATCTTCCCATCCAAAAGTTTACATATGCTCTGTATCTGGTCAACCTACCAATTTTAAATGTCTCTCTGTTCTATTCCTGTTTCCTTTCTGTAAATATTGCTAAAACCAGTTAGTAAAACCCACACTACTTCCTGAATGCTTTGCTGCCTTGAAACCTCCTCCACCAAGTAAATTAGCCCATCTCAAAGCTCAAACTCCACAAAGTCTCGGAGACTAGACACAGTGCTGCCATCTTTTCCCCCATGGTGTATCAAAGATGTCCTTCAGCCCAATTCCCAGGAGGCTCCTCATTTCCATCTGAAATCTCATAAGCTCTGCCTTTACCATCCACATTCCTATTAGCATTCTGGTCTTCTGAGCCCTCCCTAGAATCACCCAGTAAGCTGTGCTTACAGCATTCTAGAATTTCTCTCCTAAAAAATTCCTCCACATCATCAGCTATAGTAACAGCAAAGGGCTGGGGAGTTAGCTCAGTAATAGGATGCTTGCCTAGTAATAGCAAAGACTTAACCTCTTGGTATGAATTTTCTGTATTAAACAGTTTCCATTATATAGCAAATACCTGAAATCATTTATAAAAAGAAAAAGTGTATGTTGGCTCACAATTTTGGTGGTTCCATCCATGGTCAATCCAAATGTCTATGATGCTTTTGGGCTTCTGAGGGGGCCACACATGATGCGGGGAGTACATGGCAAAAGAAAGCCATTCATTTCATGCCAAGAAGCAAAAGAAAATGAGAAGGGAGCAGGGTTTCCTCAATCCCCTCCTACCCCAATTACCTAAAAGACCTTCCAGTAGGCCATCTCTCACAGGTTCCAAGACCTAGCAATAGCACCACTCTGGGACCAAGCCTTTAACTTATGCATTGGGAAGACATAAAAATTCAAACTGTAGCAGCCATATGTGATCATAGGCATCTGAAAGCTTGAATATGTATTTCTTTTTTTTTTTTTTTTTTTTGGTACCGGCGATCAAACTCAGGTCCTTGCATTTGCAGAGCAGGCAGTGGAACCACTGAGCTAAATCCCCAGCCCTTGAATATGTATTTCTATTTTGGAAAGAAAAGATTTATTCTAATTCTAAGAAGTTACATTTGTATCAATGATCAGTTCTTAGGTGTTTGCTGATATGCAAGTTTTCTATTTCTGAGTAATAAATGACCATAAATTTAGCAGCTTAAAATAACATACATGTATTTATTTATAGACTTATTTTTGCTGTACTAGTAATTAACCCCAGGCCCTCCCAAACCAGTTCACAAAGCTTCCAAACCACATGGACAAGTATAATCACAGCAAAAAAAAAAAAAAAAAAAAAGACCAAAATTGGCTTTCTAGGCAATCTAGGTTCATGGAAAACAATTTTTTAAAGAGAGAAGCCAAGAGGAAAAAGTCTAATTTTTATTACTTCCACTGCTTCATGGTCAAGCCAATTCATCATTTCTATGCATTTGTTCCATATAATAGCTCAAGTGACGAGGTGGCATGTACATGTAATCCCAGCTACTAGGGAGACTGAGACAAGAAGATCAAAATTTCAAGGCCATCTGGGCAATCTAGGAAGAGCTTGTCTCAAAAAATAAAATGAAACAAAAACCAAACAGAAACAACAAAAATAAATAAAAGAATGTTGGAGTAAAATATCGATATAAACAAACTATGATACTTGTTTAAAAAATATTCTTTGTCATTAACCATTTCTTTGATTTTTAAAAGTGAGCTTGGCATCTTTTCTTCAGAAATTATTCAACAATACTTTGAGATTTTTTATTTTGAGTAGTTGAAAATATTTGTGATGATTGCACTGGGTTGGTAAAATAGGAGTAATATTTTCACTTCACACAGATGTTTTGGAAATGTCATGGAACATCTTTGGCCCTGTAGCTTCTTGCCAGTTGTTTATGATCTAATTTCTGAATTTAACAGACTATCAAAGAAACTGTTACTAGGTGGATGTCTAAGTAAATATGTTACTGAATAATAATCTCCTAACGGACCTGTGTTTCATAGTGGAAAGCATTTTCTAGATGGCACAACATGATGAAACTGTTTCCCTTCTCTACAGAGTCCCACAGCTGACAACCAACCAACAGTGATATAATTAAAATAACAAGAGTGTAATATAGTTCAGCACTTCTACCTTGGAGTATGACTCAGGTGTGCTGCTATCTCTCCACCCCTCCTTATACTTTATGAATGAATCTTGGGAAAAGATAGTTTTTAAATTGTGAAAGTTGAGGCTGAGGGTCTAAATGACCATACTGTCCTCATCTTATCTAAACAGTTACAATAACTGATATACCAGGTGACCTTAACTGTTACCACCTCTGCTCTGAATCACCTGAGTTTACAGCTATGCACTCTGCCCAGGCCGAGGAGTCTCCTTTACCTTTGCCTCCTGCCAGGGACTCTGGGCAAAGCTGAGTCTTTTCTGGCTCCTATTAGAAAGCCTTGGCACTGGGCAGGAGAAGAGAGGACTTCTTACTCCTAATGGAGTGTGTGGTCTACAAAGGTCCCCAGTGCTTTCCATGAGGAAAGGGGCTACACTCACATTGCATCTTTATGGATGTGGCCAGGCACGAGGGTGGGCTTAATGGCCCAGTTCTGACCACACCACCTGCTGCTAGAGGCTCCCTTGGACCAGAGGTTTGGAGAACTAGGTTATGGTTCACAAGGGCACATGTGAGGAATGACTGGTACTCCTCTACTACTTTCCCCTGGAAGCATCATGGTTTTGGGATGGTATTTTTCTATTTTTCACTACAAAAGTTATTTGAGTCACCCACCTATTTAAAGCTTGAACAGATTCAGTAGTGTCTGAAAGACACTCACATGTAGTGTAGTGGCCAAGAGGGTGATGTCTGAAGTTTCTCTGGATTTCCCTTCTCATTCTTCTACCTGCTTTTCCTTTAACTTCATTATTTAGTGTCTATGTTCCTCAGTTTTCTTTCATGGACTTCAGTTTGAGATTTAAATGATAGAATATTTGTGAAGCACTTATGATTTTGCTTCATGTTTTGCTATAAGGTGGATTTTGTCCCCATCACCATATTTACAGGATGACACATCAACCCTCACACCTCAGAATGCTACTGTGTTTGGATATAGGGTCTTTTTTAAATTTTAATTTTATTAGTACATGTTTGCAGTATGTGAAGTTTACATTCATCTTGGGGAGTAGGTGTATCTACATAGCATAGCTTGTCTCTTTTTTTAGTCCTTTTCCCATAACCACCCTCCTTCCATCTCTAAATCTCCTTTCTCCATTTTCTTTCTTGTTATTATCACTATTAGCTTATATTTATGACATATAATTTCTTGTACATGGCATATCTTTAATCTTCTTAATATCCTCCCCTTGTCCTCAGTCTCCTGGACCCCTTCTCATTTGCAAAAGGTCTATCACTTTGTTTCCTTTTATCCATCCTTTACTTTGCTCTTTGTACTTTGCATTACTCAATGAGAGACATCATACAGTATTTAAGCTTGTGTGTCTGATTTATTTCACTCAATATTTTATTTTCCTGGTGCATTTATTTTTCTACAAATGTCTTGAATTTATCCTTCTTTATAGATGAGTAGTATTCCATTACATATAGATGCCACATTTTCTGTATTAGTTGATTGATGGGCATGATTAGTCTATTGATCTTACTTCCAGGATTTAGTTATTATGAATTTTGCTGCTATAAACATTGGTGTGCATGTGTGGTTATAATATGAGGTCTTTTAGTTCTTTTGAGAAGATTCTAATGGGATTCTGTCAAATTAAAAAGCTTCTGCACTGCAAATGAGTCAATTAATAGAGTGAAGAGACAACCTACAGAATGAGAAAATTTTTTGCCAGTTATTCCTCAGGCAGAGAACTCTAATATCTAAAATATATAAAGAACTCAAAAAATTAGAACACTCAAAATAAAAAACACAAAGAAGAAATAGGAAAGTGAAATGAAGAGATACATCTCAGAGGAGAAATACAAATGGCCAAGAAAGATGAAAAAATGCTCATGTCTCTGGCTGTCTTAGTTACTTTCTTCATTGCTAAAACAAAATACCCAAAACTCACAAATTAAGGAAGAAATGTTTATTTTGGCTCACAGTTTGTGGAGGTTTCAGTTCTTAGTTGACTGGTTCCAAGGCAAGGTGGCATGGCAGAGGAGGAACCGTTCATGGCAAAGCTGGTAGGAGGCAGCAAACAACAAGCAGCAGCAGCAAGCCTCACTTTCCCTTTTATCCCAACCAGACTAAAAACCTTTTGAGTAGTGCCACCAACATCCAGGGTTTGCCTTTCCATTGTCCATACCCAGAACTATGATAAAACAATTAGTGGACTAATCCAGTACCACCCTTAATCCCAGTATCACATATCCTAGATCCAGCCATCTCTGAAAAGCACCACCTATGACAGCATGAGCCTTTGGAGAAACATCTAAATACAAACCATAACACTAGCCATTAGAGAAATTGAAATTTAAACAACACCAGAAAGAATGGCCATCATCAAGAAGTCAAAGAATAACAAATGCTGGCAAGGCTGCAGTAAAAAAAGGAACCCTCCTACATTGCTGGTGAGAATGTAAACTAGTACAACCACTATGGAGATCGGTATAAAGATTCCTCAAATAACTAAAAATGGAAATTCTATATGATCCAGCTATTCCCCTTCTTGGAGATAGAGTCTTTAAAGATAGATACATTCTTTGGGTGGGCTCTAATCAAATAGGACTGGTGTCATGATAAGAGAGATTTGAATAAAGACAAGGAAGGAAAACCATGCAAAGACATAGGGAGAAGATGTCCTTTACAACCTGAAGAGAGAGGCACAGAAGAAACCACCATTAGTAGCATCCTGATCTGGACTTTTACCTTCCAGCACTGTGAGAAAATGGATTTCTGTTGTTTAAGCCACCTCAACTATAGTATCTTGTTGTTGGAGTCCTGCCAAACCTACACACATTCTAAGCACACAATAAATAATGGTGTTAATGCTAGTCATTACTATTTTGTTCTGTAGACATTCAACCAAAAAAATATAAAACAACCCCAAGCTGGGGAAGTTCAGCTAGAAAATCATTCTCACTGTTTTAGTAAAAGAGACCATTTATATACAAGATAAAAACTAAGAGTTTTTAATAATTATTATGTCTGTGAAGGCCAGAAGGAACATTCCATCAGCTTATGGACCATAAAAACACCTAGTTACTCTGCCTAGTTATTGAGAATTTGTGCATCTGTGAACTCATATACAGCCTGGGAGGTCTCTATTTAGGCACTAGGCAAAGGATAAAGTCCCCACCCCAGGACCCAATTAGGTTAACTATGGTAATTGGAGTGAAAAAGCACTTCCATCAGCAGTGAAAAAGTGAGATTGAAACAAAGAGAACACACTTTTTTGCAGTGGGTAATATATGCGTGACATAATAAAATTAAATAATACAAAGGTGAGTTTAAAGGTAATTTTAGGTAATTTGTCTTCCAAAGTACTTCTTAGAAGTTGTCAAATTTATTTCAAAACAGATTTTTGTAATATGCTTTCTATATCCTTTTAAGTTCTGTAACATCTGTGGTAATGTCCTCTAAATTTTGATATTATAATTTTAAAATGTATAATTGATATTGTGCAATAGGAAGAAAAGGTCTAAAGGAGTTGGGAAAGTGGGAGGGGTAGGCAAAAAGAAAGAAGGGAAAAGAAAAAATATGAGAAAAGAAAAAAAAATGGAAGCAAAGTCTTTGCAAATAGGGAAGGCTGGAGAGGGTGAAGGGAGGGCAGGGGAAGGGGAAAAAAAATAAGAACCAAGATACATCATGTAAAGGTACAAGATCCCAATGATGAATGTGTGAGACCTAAGTGACTCCATTCTAAAATTTGGTGGCATAAATTTCAGTTCTAAGAAAAACCACAAGATGTATTTTGACCACCTTCATGTGATA